AAGTTCAAAAGTGTTTCTAATAACGTTTGCGTCCAAATATTTTCTTCAACATCAAACGATATAATTTTTAATCGTTGTAGTAGTGAACCTGACTTTTCTAAAATTTGTATTATATTCGATTCATCATCAATTTGGCAATCAACTACTTCTAAAGTACAAATTTTATAATGATTTGTATCTAATGGTTTCAACAAAGCCACTTCATCACAATATCTTATACGAAGAATTTCTAAATTTTCACAATTCATTAGCACCTTGAACTCCGCATCACAAACACAATTATCTATTGTAACTTCTTGTAATGATTGTTTTTGACTTTCTAAAGCAGAAATGATGCCATGGAATTTTGTGGGAGCAGTTTCTTCGCCGATCAATTTGAACTGCTTAAGTTGCTCTTGTGATTTAATAATGCAAACAAGTGCACTACATACTCGTGTTGAATAACTAGAATCAAATTGATAAATGCTCAAGTTACTAATCTTTGTAGCATTTTTTGCCAAAATCCTTAATGATGTAATAGCATTTTCAACGTCGATTTCCGATATTAAACCTATAGACAAATATTGGAGTCGTGAGAAAAATTGCTCATTTCTTCCTAATGCGTAAAATATTTCTGGCTTAATTTCGATATGATATTCGGGTAAAAGAACTATATCTAATTCATATAAAGTTGCACCGCTCTCAATAAATAATTTTATCAATATATTAGCTATATGATATCTTAATGTATTGACATGTTGTTCTAGATTAGCAATCTGAGAATAGATCCATTGTTCAACTTTCTCTTCCAAGCTGAAAAAATTAAGTGCCTTTAAAAATTTTGCATATGTAAATATAGTATTAGGAAATTCTGTAATTATTCCACATTCTTTTAAAGTAAGTTTTTCATCTTCGTTAAGGGTTGAGAAGTAACTAGATATGAACTTTGAGTTTTTATCAAATGAAAATGGATCTCGCCAAAGAATAGGAATTGACATTTCGCACCAATGTCGGCTTACAAGTGCGCATGAGTATAAGGAATAAAATTCATCCAAGTTATTAAGAATATTTTCCATTATTTCGGGCATATCGCCTATGAATATTTTAGATGCCATGAGAGAATCGAAGTAAACACGGATTTTAGATCATCCCATTATATACGTAATTATATCATGGGAAATTTGGAAGAACGTTACACAGACAATTATCACTATGATCTAATTGTTTATATTTACATTTATCGTTATTCAAAATAACGATATCGATATACGGTTTTATTGTTTTTAACCCTTTTTTTAATGCATCGAAGTCTGAGATAAAATATTGCTTCTGATTAATTAATTTTAATTTCAGCTGAGAAATTTTTTTTAAAAAAGGATTCCGAATTTACAAAGCTATCGATAGCTAATATTTTAAATACGAAATTCGTTTTATAATATTGCCACTATGTGAACCCATTGAATATACTTTTGCGAATGAAATTATTTGAAGTACCAGAATCCTGTTTTTGAGTTTTAAGAAGTACATTTTAACGAATGACCTTTTTAATTGGTCAACTAAATCAACACAGTCTGCGATGTTTATAAGGTTCAGCAACTTTTTAAACTTTAAACTGATTTCTTTTGACGATTATTATTATTATTATGAATTTCTTAACGTAATATTATACATTTGAATCATAATTACGTCATAATGTATTAAACCATTTTTTAAATCAAACATGATTTTTAAGATCATGTTTTAATCATTTTCCATCCCTAATTACCACTAGTAAAACAATGCATTTTTTAGAGATTGTTCGAGTTTTAAATTAGGAATAGAGCTAATTGTGTTAAAGATTATTATCACTATTTTCGAAACAGTTGAAATAATTTTTTTTTTTTTATAAATACTCGAATACTCGATTAGCAAAACCTTGAAAGATCAATACATCTGAATCAAACAAAATTTTTTTTTATATCATAATTATATGATTTCATAGAATTAAAATAAAAAAAATTTTACCAAATTTGCTTTGTTAGTATTTTTTTTTTTTTTTTTGAAATTTGGCAATCTTGCCAATACTTTATTAGGTTTCAATATTTAACTCATGGGGAAAATATAATTTTAGCTAAAGTTACCTAAAGCCCACCTAAACAAGTATTAGCTAACCCACTCTTTGTGACATTGAAATGTTTAAATTAACCATGTTTGATCTGCTATAGTAAACTTTATCTCTATATCAAAAAATCCTGCAGATGGATACTTTGATATATCACTAAATAGTATTTATAGCCTATCAAGATCACCTTCTTTTCTAATCTTCTTCTCCTAGCTTCCTGAGCAGAAGGAATTATAGTCTCCAACAACTTATAAAAAAATATATACTAATATTAAAAAAAATAAAGAAAATAAAACAAGAAGAAAAGAAAAAACTGTCTAAGCAATTAATAAAAAAAACAAATAAAAGAAGAAAAAAGCAAAAAAAAAAAAATCCATAAAAACATTATTATAGCCCATGCCAGGCACAGTTGTAAAAATTATATACTAAATTTAAAAACCTTGTATTTCTCTTTTGTAAAGCTAAGCCTTATTCTTAAAAATTTCTTCTAACTATACTATCTGATTTAGGTTAGTTTTTTAACCAAAACATTAATTATTTATCATGTAGAAGCAATATTGCCAAAATAATTCTGGTTTATGTTCTACTTCGTCTGTCTAAAAATAGTAAGTGTAAACAATGCTGATCTTTTGGAGAGGGTAAACTATTTTGGCCACTTTTTGTCAAAATTTTGTATTTGATCCCAGAACAGACCTAGGAGCACTAGTCCGTAGCTAATAACAATAAGTTGCAAGTTTTCAACTTTTAAATTTATATAAATATCGATATAGTTTTTTTTTTTTTGACAGTTAAATGTATTTCTTTTTAATCAGTATCGGTATTGTATTTATTCTCTTATCGATTCCATGTATCCACGAATACAAATGAGTTTTTGCAGTTCTAAACATCCTCAATTAATGCATAGTAACATTCACAAAATATGAACCATGCTTTATAACTAATTTTAATATAGAATAGACTTATTATTCCGAACTATCATGCTTTACCTAGTTTGACTGTATCATCGTTATAAAATATATAAAGTAGACATAAGTACAGCGATAATATTTAAAGAACTACTACCATCATAACGCAAAGTTATTTTGGCTCTTAATTGTAAAATTTTTCAAACTCGGGTCTTTATATGTAATTATTTTCACTTTTGGCACATTTTCGTTTTTTTAGCCCTCATATGTAAATTCCCCATTTATTTATCCATAAACTATTATTGTTATCTATTCCGATATAAATAATATAAATAGACTACTATTTACTCACCACATAACGATAACTGTGCATTACATAAAAAACTCCCTTAGCAACATCAAAAAAGATTGCATACCGATATTTTTAAAAATACATATAAGCTTTTTTTGATAATATTATTGGCTGCATTGTTGATTTTCCTTCAAGCTAAGTAACCTGAGTACCAACATCAATGTTAATGCTAGTAAAATATACAATATTTGAATAAACAATTTTAAACTTCAAACTTTGTAATATACATGAAGATAATTATAAAAATAATAAATTTTTATTTCACAAAATATTTTTGAGTTTAAACAGTAAATTACAAGTGGTTCAATATTATGCAAAAAGCTGTAACGATAATGCTGTATTATCGTTATCCAAAGTATGCAATGACAACTAGACATTGAAACATCTTAATAACCGATTAGCCATAATAGCCATTGAGATACTTGAGCTCCAAAACATAATAGAACATATAAATACTCTACTATTAACGTTAACAATTTAATATCGATATTGCGTTGTCAAGATAAACTTTTGAAGTAATCACGTGTCAAAACATGTGAATATCAGCGGTTCTATACCTTCATCAGAAGTTTCTTTTATATTATAACAATTGTAAGGAAAAATAAGGTGGATAATTAATAAAAGACGAACATACACTATATTTTTATTTAGTCCAACAGGAAGGGTTAGCATATAGTTTATGCTGCTATTATTTAAATAAGCTTTATTTATCTAAGGATCTTATAAATTGGCAATTGCTCATGGATTAACGATTAACATCTTAATCCATACCTATTAAACTATCCGAACAACATGTGACATAATCATGTGATTAGTCATGTGCTCAATAACTTTCATCGAAGTTTCTTTAATATTGTGACGACTGTAGAAAAAAATAAAGTAAATAATTGATAAAAGTCTAACCTATGCTACGTCTTTATTTAGTTCAATTGAAATGTCAATAATACTTTGTGAGATATTATTCAAATAAATTTTGTATATTAAAAAATCATAAAAAATCTGCATGACGATCATAATCTTATTGGGCTAAGACAATAATCCATGACCGATATGGTAGTTTTCCCTACTTTGATTTTAGCCGTGTGACTTAAGTGATCAATCATATAAACTAACGTCAATATTTAATTTTTTCTTCAGATATAACGAAGCCACCAGTATTTATCATAATAATTTCAGCCAATCCCATTGTCATAACAATACTCAATCCTTTAAATGCATTTTGTTCGTCCTTTCAACTCCATTTCTATAACAATCTCCAACATTATTTTTCTGCCAGCCTACCAGTGTTCATTATTTTGATAATTAGTGAATGTCTTATGTTCGTCTTTTTCAACTCCAATACCCTTTCTATAACAATATCAAATATTATTTTCTACCAGCGTTCACCATCTTTGCTGAATTTTGATAATGAACGAATGAACGAATCCTCACGTCCATCCTTTTTGGCTTCGACGTCATTACGATAACAACTGCCAAAGTGCAAATATTCCCAATCACTGCTGATTTTTGATAATAATATGAATTCATTACGTTCATTCTTTCAACTAATTTACCATAACGATAACAACTTGCACGAACGATTTGAACCATAGAACTGATTTTGATCATTAAACAAAAATTGATAATTTTGGATATAGAAATTTGCTTCAGATCAAATTAGTGCCTATGTTGGAACGAGAGTAGGAGACCCAATACAAGTGACTTCAAGACGGGTGATTGAAAGAATTTCAGTTTGCCTTTGCAGATCGGATCAAACGTACCAGTAAAACGATATAACAAATTCCTTAAATATGAAGTGCCACGTGGATACGACACGTCAATGGCAACGTGTTTATAATTGATATGTCTAATACTGTGTATGGAGATCTTGTAGGTATTTGTGAAATTATTATTGTTTTGGTATTAACTTGACACTCAACTGATATTATTTGATATTTTCCTTATTTGCCAGAAATTGATCCAATATGTCTAGAATTGAATATGATGTTTACCTCGTCAACAGTTTCATTAAGCTTATTTTCATCCTTTTCACGATTGCGTATTTCTTTACCTATTTCATTAAGCTTATGTTTATCCTTTTCAACCCATTAAATTACAATAACAATTACGTAACAATAAAGAGAAAAAGAGCGTATTAGAGCACATAAACATGTAATTTTAAATTAATGTATAACTAGTAATAATAATATCATAATAAAGTACGCCTACTTGGCGTCCCATGGCGAATGCCACCGGGAAATGTTAAAAAAAAATAAAATAAAAAATAACAATAACCAAGTGCAAATATTCCACCAGTATTCCTAATCACAGTCGATTTTTAATAATAATGAATTCATTATCGTCTTTTCATACCGGCGATAACAACTTGTAAGAAAGATTTGGACCATAGAATTGATTTGCTCATGGTAAGCAAAGATTGATAATATTGTTTACTTATCTGAAATACTTCTAACGTATCTTATCTTATATTCATCCTTTTCAACCCATTTACCAATAGGGGGGTTCAGACTTAAGGTTCAGGTTTCTGATTTCGAATTAAATTAGCGACGTATTAATTTTGTAATCAGAGATCTATAAATCCTATTTATTTTTATTTTTTTTATTTGCAAGCCTATTCATATAATAATATAATATATATCATTAAAAAAAGTTTGTTTATTTTATCTTCAGACAACTCCTTTTTCATTTTCTGATTTTGAAATTTCAAACCAAAAATAGGACTTTCAAACTCCCACTTATTTACAAAATAAGTTAACTCTGAAACCCCCTAATGATAACAACTCGTGGATCATAGGATTGATTTGATCATGTAAGCAAAGATTGATAATGTTATTCGGATTTGCTTCTTACCTGAAATGTTCTAATTTATCTAGTCCAATGATAACAACTTGTAAGAGCGATTTGAACGGTAATCGCTCATTTTTTGGCAGTCATTTCCGTCACATAGGATTATGGTTAACGTTTTGATTTGTCACAGATATACATTTTTATTAAATTGTCAAACTGTGATATCGGGTAAATGCCCTGTAGGGGAAATAACTATGAGTCGTAACCATTTGGACCACAGGATTGATTTTATCACGCAAGCAAAAATTGATAACATTATCCAGATCTATTTCTTACTTACCAAAAATTGTTTTAATGTATTTTATGTTCATCCTTTTCAATTCCCATTCCATCACTATAATAATTGTCAAATGCAACTATTCCACCCAGTATTCCACAATAATGAATTACTCAGATTATCTTTTCAACCTATTTGCCAACGATAACAACTTGTAAGAACAGTTTGAACCATAGGACTGATTTAGATCATGTAGCTAAAATTGATGTGTATCAGATTAAAATTTGTTTCGAAACAAAATTTATTTTTTAAGACTAGGGTAGTGCCTAGTGATGTGCCATTTTATATGATATCCGGATTTTTTTCGCGTACAGTACGTACAGTACGTATAGTGTGTATAGTGTGTATAGCATGTGCAACATGTATAGTACACGTATGTAGTGATTTGAACCGAGAAGAATTTCTTTAATCGGTTAACCAAACCGAATTATTTTATTCAACCGGTTGTCAATCGATTGAGATTAACTATCTTTACTTTTCGGTTTATCTCGGAGCTTTGCCCAAATTTTTGTCTCAACTTGCTCTCTTTTATGTTCATTCATTTCTTTTTGGAACTTTTCGGAACCTTCGCTCCATTTTCATTCTTATCGATCCTGCCAGCCGATACCCAATTCTCAACCGGATGTACAGTACCGGGTCAACCGATTAAGAATTTCCTCAACCGGTTAACCGAAATTTACTTGGTTCGGGTCGATTAACCGATTATAGGCCAACCGATTCAAATCACTACACTTATGATATGTAAAATTTCGCAAGGAGTAATCTTACTTAGAATACTAAAAGCGGTTTCATAAGGAAACTTTTGAGATATGAACGGTTTTATAATTTGATGTTATATTATTTTTAAGTCCAACTACTCTGTCAATATTAAAAATTTTCTTATTGCCGCTATGAACCACCCTAGCATCCCCAACCTAAAAAAATTTCGCAATTGGGCCGAATTAAAATTTAAGATCAGGTGTAACATAAAATTAACTAAAAATACCCAAACCCTAACCCTAACCAGTGTTTCGGCCTAAACCTCCCCAAAGTCCGAAACGGGAATTTTAGCTTCGCCCTATAAGTCCGAAACCCTCCGAAACTAGTTTCGCCCAATTTGATCTGCAAAATCAGGTTTAGGCCGAAACACTGACTCTAACCTAACCTTAACTCTGGTAGCGAAATTTTTTAGTGGTGATGCTAGGGTCATAGCCGCAACGAGTCTCATATGATCACTGATTTAATCCAAGAATTTCATGATCTATTCCTAAGAGTACATCACCATTATGTCATTTTCAGCAAAAGCTTTTATTGCGAAATCTTGTGCACTTGAAATCCCCATACTTCAAATTCAAAGATCGACAGTCTATACAGTAAACAAAATCAAAGCTATACTTTTGAATACAAAGGAAATAGGCAAGTAACATGCCAGAAATATTAACTTATCTAAAAAATGTTGTTATAAATTAACATATAAAATCATAAACAAAATGCTTCACAAAATTGCTTGAATTATGTAATATATAAAACTTACAAATCGCCAGATTTAATTCCTTCCAAATAGTGATGCCTGACGAAACCATGTGATTCTAATTGTCGCATGGTACAGCATATAAAAATCAACAATCAATTTTGATTTTTTATAAATAATAGCATGTGATAATTAGCATCACATGGTTTCGTCAGACATCACTACTTCCAAATATAAATGCCAAAACTTCGAATAACTGAATAGTGGTAACCAATGTACGATGACCCTGACGGACAACATTTGCAAATTTCTGAAAAATTATTTTAACAGATGACAAACATAGTTCTAATCACATAAATCACAATAAGGCGGAACCCCATACTTACTACCACATTAAAAAGCTTAGATGTAAAAGGTGCGCCTCTTAGCTTAATGGTTGGTGGTTCATCATCGAAATCTTGTAAAAAGATGTTCCACAAGTTGATCCATCTTTAAACAAGTGAAATAAAAATTAAAATTATTTGAGAATTAAAAATAACTTTCAAATTGAGAACAAGACACCAAACCTGAGGTGGCATTTGTCTTTAACCTTGTCCTGCAGTATTTTGTTGCTGAAGTTGTTGTGTAACATGTGGAAATACGCAATTATTAGGGGTGGGGTGGCATGTTAAACCGTGAAGTAAACTTTCATATACATCTTTAAGTCGTTGTATTTTCTGGTTCATCTTCTTTTTCCTTGACCTAATTATGTATACATAAAAAAAATATTATAGGAATTACTAAGTGTTTATTAAGTAGTAGTATTTTTCTAGTAGCAGAGCAAATGCAAGTTCTTTTTAATAAGAAAGCACATAACCGTTCATCCTCGAGAATCGGTAGACATATTTAAAGAACCACATTAGATTGAGCCCCTTTACGGAGACATTAAAATTACAGTATCCATAAAGCAATGATGCGACCAAAGAAGGACGTTCACAAGCAATCTTGTGGCCACAATGCGCTTCCAGTTCTTTAATCTAGGCTTGTCTATACACAAAGTAATGAGCCACTTGACACCCTTGCTAAATAGTAGTCTATAGCTCAAATGCCAGAGCCTTCAAAGCACCTGTTCTCATAAAATAACACCCCCTTTCTCTGCATCGAAAACAATGATTCGGAGTCCTCGTAAAGACAATCTAAAAGGAAAGGGAATTTGACCGTTACTTAAAATATAACTACCTTAGATGAGAAACTTGCTTTTCGTATTGTAGATAGTAAATACCGACATTTTTTTTTCATTTATAGCTGATTTGAAAATTAGTGGGACATGTGATGAATTTGTGATGATCATCCAAATTTCGGTACATAGCGTCAAGGGCAGGGGTAACACCCTATTTATTTATTTAGACGGCATCCATAATTTACGTTAAACCAGTATTGTTATAAAAATCTTAAAGATAATTAATACAAAAAGAATACCAGATAGTACAGTATTATTATCAAGGTTTCTATATATTTCTATACAATACAGCTGGTTTAACGTAAATAATGGATGCCGCCTTATTTTTTCTTGTAATTTTTTTATTTTTTTGCTAGTTTTGTACTATAGTTTTATTTTTTGTATTGTAGTTAAATAAAATATATTTTGAATTAATTAAAAAACTTTAAAGCTTTGGTACTTTTTGTTCTGGTTATCAAAAAATCTTTTGTAAAATTTGAGTTATTGTTTAGCTCTTGTTATTTAAAAATAAAAAACTGGTATTATATTAATCTTACAACTAATACTTGGCAAAGAAATTTTAAAATTAATCTTAAATTAACAAATTCGAGAAATTAATTTATTGAGCCATATATTTTATAAAATACTGTTTCATAAATAAATATATTTATTCAAAAAATACAATTAGTTTATAACAGTTTTTTTAAAGAAAAATACGTAAATACAGTTCAAATTTTCTCTACGCCAACTTTAATTCGTTATCATAAAAGATTAAAATTTATGATTCTTCGGAAATTTTTGGTTGCTTCTTCCGTGACGCAGTTGGAATAGTATTCTTACGTTTGCCAACTGAAAGCTAAGAGGTATTCATTGTAGATCTTGAGGACGTCGTTTGAGCTGTTACCGTCCACGAGGTGTTTTATTTTGTGTGCTACCATCTTCTTCTATTGGTAACTCGCTATTACTTGAAGTACTTTTATGCCTAGAAGTTTGTGGTGTTGTTCGTTGTGCCAGATAACGTGCAGCACGTGATGGCCAATTTTTTCGATTATTCGATTGCTCTACTTGTTCTTCAGATGAAGTAACAATAATTTTTCTTTTAACGCGGTTTGTGGGTAATAATGTAGTCTCTTCTTTGTTTTCTTCTCCGTCGGATGTAGAAGTGATTGTTGGTTCATTCGCAGTGTTATGAGACTGCACGGTCGTAGAACTAAACTGGCGATCCTGCGATTGTTTTGATATTGGCAATACACCAGACCTGGAATTGCCATTATTCCCATCTAAATTAAAATATTTATACTTAAATTATAGATAGCCATAGATAAATACGAGAGTAAATTTATGTAAATAAGTATACCATCATTTTCTTCAAGTTCCATGTGTTTGTCATCAGAAATCTCCTCAACCAAGTTAGAAAATTTTATTTACATGCCAATTGAAGCTGCAATAGTTTCAACTTTTGGCTGTGATGACGATAGCCCTAAAAGTTCTGAAATAGTTGTTTTAATAAGCACAATTTCATTTATATTAATTTGTACAAACCACAGGATGAGATTTTTTTCCATAAATCATCCATTAAATCTACTGCAGCTTTAATTAAATCAGCGGTTTTATTCGTACTGTCCTCAATGTTGAGATTGTCAAAAAACATCTCTAAACTAGACTTAATGCCACCATACATGTTCCATTTTTCTGCCACAAGTGAAATATTGAATTTATATAATTAATGATTTCAAAACGTGATTCATCTGTTGTCTTAGAAATCATAATTTCAAATAGAACCTCAATAATTTTTACTGTAGGAGAGACATCATATTAAACCAGACAGTGCTTCAGGATGTGCTATATAAACAATCAATCCGTAAAAAAAAATATTTGTAGTTACGCGAAAACATATATCATAAACTTACTTAAAGGATCCAAGCTTTTTAGGTAAACTGATGTGCTCATATACATGTGTGCCTAAATTCAGGGTGATTTACGGCATTATGGCATTTTTTATATTTTCGGCAGCCTCTTCAAAATGCCTAAATGCCGAAAATAATTACGGCTGCCAAAATTATTTTCGGCAACCATAATTATTTTCGGCAGCCGTAATTATTTTCGGCAGCCGAAATTGTTTTCGGCAGCCATAATTATTTTCGGTAGCCGTAATTATTGCAGTTACAGATCCTACTTACTCCTTTTGGACAGCCTTATAGCTAATGCTCGGCACAATCAAACAAAAACTCGACACCCATACAGTAAATGTCCATGTCAATATTTTGCAAACAATGTCCAAAATATATCGAAATCAAAAGCTTATGTACCCAATATTAAAAGCTTATCGCCAAATTTTTATCAGTTGTTCCAGAATTTATGAGAACAGCTGTAATGTCTGAATTA